TCCCCGCACGCCCACATGCCCCAGTGCTCAGGTGAGGAGGAAGCCCTCTTGCTCAAGAGCCTCGCCCACTGCTTTGATCTCTCACAGTCTGAGTTGCTTGCTAGGGTCTCAGGAGTACCAGGCTCAAGAATCTAGCCTTCAGCAAGCTTTTAGGGAATTGTGAAGGATGCAACGCCTTGAAAACTATTTCTCTTGAAGCTCAATATTCTTAGAAAACCCGTGGAAGTGAAGTCCTGTGCGCCCTGCTTTCAAGATGGGTATCCAACTGCTGCCAATGTCAGCGGGGATTGCTGCCCTGAAAACCTAGCTGGGTGGCAGCGTCTTAGAGAAAAGACTGAATGCATGGGGATGACAACTGAAGAACTCTTGAACGTTCCAGCTGGATGGTGGAGGGCTCATCCCTGGACTGACCAGGGGCCAGAAAGCGACCTTACAGATGGCATTTAAGATCTGTATCTTACTTTTTCTTGGTTTCAGGTTCTTAACCTGTAAATTGGGGAAGATAGCCAGGCTTATTTGATAACATTGCCATAAGAATTAAGGCTTCAGGTCTTAGTATCTGGCTCACAGTAAGTATGATGAACAGGTGGATTGCTACTGCTGGTTCTGGGGTTCAGGGCAGGGTGAGGAGTTGCTCAACATACAATATATACTTGTATAAAAATGTCATTATTTAATACAGTCATATGTGCAATAAATATATACGGTGAAATTTAAAATTTTTTTTAAATATTTTATTTATTTATTTTACAAGTATGAGTGTTTTGTCTGCATGCATGCAAATGCACTATGTATGTACATTGCCCACAGAGGCCAGAAGAGGATGTTGGATCCCCTAGAATTGGAGTTATGGACAGTTGTTAGCTACCACATGGGCACTGGGAATGGAACCCAGGTCCTCTGCTAAAGCAAGTGCTCTTAACTACTGGGCCATCTCACCAGCCCCTGAAAAAAATATCCGAGTGCAACCGACCATGGCTAGTAATAATCAGATACATACAGATTAGAGATGCATGCACCAACATCTAAGTGTTATTAGCAAAAACAATGAGTCTTTCTGTAAGAAACAGTATATTTTAAGATGAAATAGAGATCTTTTATAAAGGTTAAAAACTCATTCAATTTTATCTTACAGGGTTTATACTGAGTTCAATATTGTATAACTATATTAATTCAACTGTGAACCTAAAAATTTTATAGCCACTTTTGAAAGAGATGTATCTTTACTCTGGAAATTGCCATTGAGTATGTTAAAGCTGTAATGAAATGCTTCTTCTACAAAATTAAAAAATAATAAAATAAAATATAAAAAAATTCAGATATTATTATCACTGTCTCTGTCTCTATCACCAATGGGGTCAATTGTTTGAAATCCAGAGTCAGCATTGCTTTTGTGAATAAAGTTTTGTTGGAAAACAGTCATGCTCACACTTTCACACTGTTGTCCATGGTTCCTTCTGTGTGGCAACAGAAGGGTTAAATAGTTACCACAAGGATCCTAAGGCTTTTGCAGCTTGAAATGTGTTCTTTTTGACTTCGTAGAAAAAGTTGCCAACTCTCACTCTCCATACTTTTGAGCCTCTGTTACTATGTGGATCCCTCTGGGAAGAACTGCAGATTTGCTATGTTAAGGGTTAGCTGACATATAGTTGAAGCCAGAACCCCGTCAGTGCTGCAGCAGCGGCTGGTGACTGGCAAGATCACAAAAAGAGGAGGCAGCAGAGGGTGGGGCACCTCTCCAAAGAGCAGGTGAAAGAAACTGCAAGCCTCCCTTTTCAGCCTGGGTTTTTATGAACCCAAAGAGTGTCTGGCAAGGAATGACTGAGCCTCTTGCACTTGCCGGTGGTGCTCTTCCTCCATCACTACTTCACGTTCTCAGCAACTTCATCTGAAAACATCTGCACTGACATCAAAGGAAGTCATTCCATCCAGCACTGTCTTGGTTGGCTTGGATCATCAACTTGACACCCCTGGGAAGAGGGAACATCAATTAGAAATGTCCTTTATCAGACTGGCCCATGGGCATGTCCTTGAGTGGCTGGTGATGTGGGAGGGCCCAGCCCATGTGGGCAATGCCACCCCTGGACAGGTGGCCCTGGGTTGTATAAGAAAGCAAGCAGAACATAAAGCAAGGGGAACAAGCTTATTAGCATGCCTCCACGTTCCCACCTTGAGTTCCTGCTGCAATTTCCTTGGTGATGGACTGTCACTTGGAGTTGTAAGATGCAGTAGTTTACACATATAGGTTCTTATAGCAGGCAGCATTCAGATGTTCTTGAGTCTTGCTGTTTGTGTTTTTATAGTAGATGGAATCCCACTGAAATGGATGGAAAACTGGCAATGTAGAGATCCAAAAGTTCAGTGCCTTGTCACAAAGGGAAGAAGATTATCCCACACCTATTACCCCTTCCAAGGCTCAGGGACTTTTGCAGAAGAGGTTGGCAAAAAGAAGGTAAGAGCCAGAGGAAGTGGCTTCTGACCACGATGCCAACAAGCTATAGTCACACCTCCTTTCCACACTCATCAAGGAGTCGATGGGGCTAATAAAAATAAAAACTAAAAATTAAAAAAAAAATAAGAGACTGCAGAGTATGTGTCCCTGGATAAGACTCCTATATTGAACCTCACCCACCCATGACTCAGGGACAACTGTGGAAGGGGGGGTGGAAAGATTGTAAAAGCCAGGGCTAGTTCATGAACACAGGGAAGCAGAGGCTTTCAGGCCACTGGAAGCTTGCACATGTGACCTTGTGGCAATGGTGCCATCGAGCACAAAGCCCATGCCTACTCAATTAAACAAGGCCCAGAGAGGAGGAGAGACATGGGTGGAAGGCTGACCCTAGACTGAGAACTACTGGAGACTGATAGATGCTGGGTGAGGGAGAATATGCCTTACATATGATCTCCAGATGGGCTGACTAGACTCCAGTGGACAAATTTACACTGAAGGACATCTGGGTACAAATGCTTGACTGAATTGGACTTAACATGTAAGACAGAATACATGAAGTCTGTTGGAGGGATGGGGGGCATGGATGTTATTTGATTAAAAACTGTTGTATTTTTTTTTAAAAAAAGATGTGGCAAATCCTTTCCTCTGCAACTTGGTTTTGGTCATGGTTTTCTATTACAGCAATTGAGAAGCAAACTAGGACAAAAATATTTAGAGAAAACTATAGTATGCTATGTTTCCTGCAACGTGATAGCTAATTGCCTATTGTGTGGCAAACACTAAGGCAGATAGAATGAAGCCCTGACCTTGCTCTCAGAGTACATCATTTTTATTGCAAAACCATAAACCCTTCAGAGCTGGGACTTATGGCTCCCACCTCATTCACTAGACACTGAAGGGTGATGAAAAATGCCTGGGATTGCAAGTACTGGTAACTAATTAATATCTGCAATCAAGATCATAAAAGCCTTGGAATTCTGTGTGTTTCCCGAATACTTGCGTCTATTCAATTATGTGCAGTATCAATATCTTCTCACTTCTGTGTCTTGTCTTTTAATTGTGTTATGTATTTGCCCTAAAGAAGATTAATTTTTTTAAAAAAGAATATCTGAGTTATATTATTTTTACAACCAATGTTAAATTGAATCAGTAATCCCTGTGTCTTAAAGCCTGCTTAGGAAGCTAGAGAGATGTCTCAGGAGTTATGAGCACTGGCTGTTCTTGCAGAGGACTTGAGTTTGGTTCCCAGCATCCACAGGGCAGCTCACAACAATCTGTAACTTCAGTTCCAGGGGAATCCAACACCCTCTTCTTGCCTCTGAGGATACTGCATGCATGTGGTACACTTACATACATGCAGGCAAAACACTCATACACATAAAATAAAAATAAACAAATAAAAAAAAAAAAACCCGCTTAGCCTACCTAGCATCTCATTGATAAGACTATGTAGCATGTGGTGGTGCATGCCCATAATCTTGAAACTCTCTGAAGGCTGAAGCAGGAGAACCAGATGTTTAAGGTAATCCTTGGCTACATAGGCCATGCTGTATGAGACCCTATCTCAAAAGAGAAGGAGGAAGAAGAGGAGGATTTCATTTTGACATTTTTTCTTATTTAAACAAATTTTCTTGACCTCAGGTTTAGAATTTGTGAATCTTCATCTTTATCTAGAGCTTTTTTTTTTTCTGGAAAGTATAGTGTAAGAATCAAATTTATTCCTCAGATGGAAATGCTATTTCTCAAACATTGTTATTAAAGAGACAAAAGTTTCTCTGCTGCATTTTTGGTTCCTCCTGTATAAGAATACCTCACATAAACTTGCATTTTTTGACATTCTATCCCATTCTAGAAATCCTACTACCTTTCTTTTGATCATATAACAATCCCTAATTTCCATTGCTTTATAAAAAGTCTTGATATTTCTATTATGACAATTCCTTCCTCTTTATTTTTCCTTTTCAGTGTTTTCTTATTTTTTCTTAGAAGCTTACTCTTTTGTGTAATTTCAGAAGTAGTTTGTTAAGTTCCACTGAAAACCTTTTTACAATTTTTACCAAAATGGCATTCAATTTACAGACTAACATCAGAATAATCACAAATATTATATATAATATATATCAGATATATGAGGAACAGTTTTGAAAGAGAAATAGAAAAAAACAGGTGGAAAGTTGTATATTTATGTCCTGCAATAGCTATTTTATAATCATTACATAAACCTTGATTCATCTTTTGTTCACTATAGGCATTTTATGATCACTTTAGAAATCATTCTCTTTCTATTGTGAAGGGCATGGTGTAAAAACCTGTTGCCACATGTTCATTTCAGTATTAATTTTTCAAACTCTTTCCCAGTCTCTGAGGCATGCACCCTTAAGGTAGAGTTCTTTACACCTCTCCTGAAAGGGTCAATGACATTCTTGTTGGATACGTTTTTAATAACTGCAGCGCATGCAAAAGGATCAAAGTTCCCGATATGACAGTCAGGGCAAGGTCCGGGAGGTTCTTATGACAAGGTGTCTTTGTTAAATTCAGTCCATTTGCAGCAATGCTTTGGATTAGAGCCTCTTGCATTCTCTCTGTGGCCTTGCTTTCTGCCCACATAGCAGCTGTACCGGTAAGTCGAGCTCTGCTTCTTTGTGTGTGTACACATCAGTTCTAGCATAGATTATCCACCTTCTGTACATTTATTTCCTTTCAGATTAAGCATCTTTCTAAAGGAAATGGTAAGAGTCATTTCATATGTTATATTTCTGAGCTTTCATTCAATAGGATTAGTAACACATTTTTTTCTCATTTTTAACAGCACATGATACAGATTTGGGAAAACAAAAGGATATTTCTGAAATCAATTTGGGTGAGTTCAATTTTTACAATATTGAGGCCTTACAATAATTTATTGTTTGTATTAATTAATTAATTAATTTGAGACATGTTCTCA